TCCGTAGACTGCCATTCCGACCAGCATTTGTATACAGAGCCTGCTCGTAGATAAGGACAACATTTCGAGGATATAATATCGTTTTCCAAATCATTAGAAGTCAGAAAGTTGGCTAGTTAGTATGATCAGCAGTATTTGGTTGTATAATCGTGAGATCTGGCTAGTCACCTTCTGTTCTTATTACAGGTAATTTAAAAGCTAAACAAATATTTTAATCTGGATAAAAGACGGGGAAAGGATCGCTGACGATGTAATCTCGAGAATCAGGAAAGCAGTCGAATCATGAAGGTAATCTCAGTGGAAGCAGGCAGAAAGCTGGTAAACAACATTGCCGATTTCATCCATAGCGAAGGGTTTTTTTTATTTTTTATTAAGCATTCATACACATGAGATGGAAAGTTGACATTAGAAGTGATATTTACTTGCAATACGTTTCTGTTTTAGACCATAATAAAGTTGAAATTAAGGAAGTAATTATTTATTTTTTCTGCTTCATCCACAGCCTTTATGAAGGATTGGACCTGGATGAATTGTCCAAACCTGCCTCCTAAATGATTGAAATTGTGTGGCTGGAGGCAAAAAAACAGTCCCATTTAAATTTGTCCTTGACGCAATAGGTTACCATCAATCAAGCCACTTCATAAAAGAACGGACTACGTACAGTGAACTCGATGCACCAGGAATAAAACGATAGACGATACTTCATTGCATTCTCCCTAAAGTGTAGAAATACTTAATGTGCTATAGCTCGTTTGTCCAGGCAACGTATGTATCATATAACATAGAGGTTTGGGGTTTTAGCCGAATTAGAACGACGTCATTTCGTACAGAGGAAAGGTCTCTTGTCGTCTATAACCATTATTGTAATGCCTGTGTAAAACTAACCAAAGAAATGGGAAATAGAGTAGTTTCATTATTAAAAATAAATAATCTGGCTGTTTTGTTGAGAACTGTTTGCCGGTGGTTTCAAGTCGCACAAGACAATGACTGTGTTACCACGAGAGTACTCGACCTTCCAAATGAATTCGATACTCTAAACGGTTTGCCCGTTGTCCTTCAGATGTGAATCGACGTGCGTTGCCATTTATAAATTAGCTTTACTGTTCTGAGAACTCTGGAGCCAATGGTTTTGTGTAGTATTGAATGGGTTTTACGTCCTTTTCAATACGTAAGTAGGTTTTTTGTAGCACATAACCTCAGAATTAAAGTCAGTCTCTGGTGAGACCGGGCTGCGCGCGCGCGCGCGCGCGTGTGTGTGTGTGTGTGTGTGTGTGGAGAAAGAGAGCGAGAGAGAGAGAGAGAGAGAGAGGGAGAGAGAGAATGAGAGAATGAGAGAGAGAAAATGAGAGAGAGAGAGAGAGAGAGAGAGAGAGAGAGAGAGAGAGAGAGAGAGAGAGAGAGAGAGAGAGATTTTGAATACATGTAGTTGTAATTCCAGATGCGACCACACATGCTTGGCAATGTCTAGACGGGAATGGGTCATAATTTGATGTAAACATGTTGGTTTTCCAAGAATGAGGACATCGTAAATGTCGTCATTGTTATGCTTCAAAAGACAACCTGAGAAAGATATTTTCGAGAGCACATTTACGCATACATTGAAATTACAAATCCTTTCGAATGAACGTCGGTTGGCAATGGTATCAGTATAAACAGTTGTTTTCTAATGTGGTGTTGTTACGGACATCAAATACAGTGTGTACGGTTAGCATGTAATAATAATAATAATAATAATTATTATTATTATTATTATTATTATTATTATTATTATTATTATTATTATTATTATAATAATATGATAATAATAATAATAATAATAATAATAATAATAATAATAATAATAATAATGATAATAATAACTATAATAAAAGTAGATCTAATAACAATGATAATGATAGATAACATTCTATAGCGCAAATTCCCTCTTAGCTGTAAGCTCTTTAAACGCTTTACATTCTATATAATTACCCCAGCACAGCAGACGCTTAGGTAGTCGTCATTGTTATGCTTAGAAGAATGGCTGGCACTCAAACGTGTTGCAGTGTTATGTAGAGTGCAACTTCGGGGAGGGGGGGGGATAAGTGTTTTACAGCGCTTTCAACTGAATAAAGTCATACGAGCGCGGGGGACATATTGAACATTTTCAGTTGGTAGAAAATTTTGAAGTGTGCCCGGGTGGCGGCCGAAGCCTACTCTTATCGATTTTAGGACCGACAAGGAATCTTGAACGTATCCAACATGACACGGGATCTCCGAGATTCTTCACCGTTATCCGAGATGGCTAAGTGTAGATCTTACCAACCGTAAGATCAGTGGTGTGGTTGAAAGACAACAGTAAGAGGGAGTCAAGGAGCAGCAGTAGAAAGGCTGCAGAAAGAGTCAGGAGCCCAGAGGTTGGGGCAAAAGAGGTGAAGGGATGGGGGCAGAAAGTGAAGACGAAAGCAGACGACAGAACATTGTTAGAGAGCAGGAAAGGATGTGAAAGGAGAACATTTTAAAG